CCCAGAGCCACTGTGGACACCGCTAACTTCAGATATATCACCACTAATCCCAGAGATATCACCGCTCATCCCAGAGGCATCAATGCTCATCCCAGACCCTGAGATATGTCCTGATCCGCTGAAATCCACATGGCTTCCACCCAGCTCTTGTTCTGTTAAATGTGGAGCAGTGAACACCTTCACCCAAGGGCTATCCACCATGATGTCACCACTGCCATCAATGAATGAAATGCCACTGGATCCTCCAGAGGGAAAAATTCCTGATGGGAAACCGCTGAATCCTGAGGACTCCTTGCTAGAACCTGATCCTGAGAAGATGCCAGAAAGGTCTCCACTCTCGTCACTTTCTTCTGAGCTGCTGGAAAAGTCTGAGGTAGATCCACTCTCTTCAGAGCTATACCCTGACCCACTTCCTGATCCTGATCCAGAGGTGTCCAATCCGAAGAGGCCTGAGCCCTGGCCAAAGGGAAAGGTCAGGAACTGTGTGCCTGCCTCCCCAGCCTCCTCGGGTCTTCCTGAAGTTGATCCAACACCTGATAAAACTGAGTCACTTCCTGAAAAGGTCACTAGAATATCTAAGCCACTGCCAGATCCCGAAGAACCTAAAGACCCGCTTGGCAGATCCCCACTCCCACTGGCCCCAGAGGAGTCTCCACTTGACACAAATGACCCACTTGGCTGATCCCCGCTCCCACTGTCCAACAGTTTGCCATTGCCACTGGCCCCAGAAGAGTCTCCACTTGAAACAAATGACCCACTCGGCTGATCCCCGCTTCCACTGCCCGACAGACTGTCAATGCCACTGGCCCCAGAAGAGTCTCCACTTGAAGCAGGTGACCCACTTGGCTGATCCCCGCTCCCACTGCTCAACAGATCATCGGTGCCACTAGCCCCAGAAGAGTCTCCACTTGAAGCAGGTGACCCACTTGGCTGATCCCCGCTCCCACTGCTCAACTGATCATCAGTGCCACTGGCCCCAGATGCGCCAGATCCAGAGGGTTCCGCAGGGATAGTAGTAAGAGTTGCTCCTTCTGAGGAAACACAGATATACACAGAATCTAAGGTACTGCACCAAAATTAACATTAATCATGACATGCATTAAAATACATTAAAATACATGGGATAGTTCACTCAAAAATGAAAAACATATATGATATGATAAAATAATTTTAATTGTTGGGTGATCCATCCCTTTAAACACATTTTCACTCAGGTTTTTAATTATTTCTGATTATTTTTTAATTTGAAGGATGGTGGGATCAAAAAACAGAGATGAAAAAACATGCAGAAAATGTGATCAATCCGGAAATTAGAGGACCTTTGCAGACCCTCATCAAAGGTCAATGAGTGTTTATTGATCAGACAATTTGACTTTAATTTCACTTCTTTTGGTAAGCCAACGCTAAGTCAAGTTGTAAAATGTCACAGACTGTGATGCCTCAAAACCTAATAATATTTATGAATTACTGCAATATATTAAATATAACAAAATATATTTGAGCATTTTTTACATAATTATTCAGATGTATGATTTATGCATATTTTTTTATCCTTATTGTCACTGACTCGTATATGTATCCTGAGCTACAGTATATTACCAGGTTTGAGAAGAGCAGGGAGGGATGTCATGCTCACTATCTTTTCCTCTGTCACCGTCATGTTTGTTTCACTTTCATTCAGAGACAGATCCAGATCCACTATATGTATAAAAAATGACAAATATGTAAAGAATAATGTATGTTGTATAAACACTCAACAGACTTAATGTTTTACATTTACAAGAATCTACAATTTATGACCTATATATAACTACACTGTAGATGTATTTACCCTTGATGCAGTATGCATCAAATTTGGAGTGCAGGTCATGAGAGCCAGTCTGGTTGGGAAACTTGTAAACTGTGTGAATTCCAGCCTTCCCTCCACCACACTGCTGCCGCGGGTTATTGATGGAGTAACGTACACTGCGGTCAAGAAGCCAGCCAGCACGGCACTTATCAAAGCCCTGCTTCCAAGTGGCATACAGGTCTCCTGTGGAGGCCAGGGAGGCATTCTTGCCCTGGCAGTAAGCCACTGCTTCACCATAAGTAAATCCCTCGAATGAACTTGCATGGAAAACTTCCCCTGGAAATGTGAACACACAGTGATTTAGAATTATTTTTTTCCAAGGAGAGAATTATTTGTTTTGTTTTGTTTCACTCTCAGAAATTTAAAATGGAAGTAATTTATATTTATTTACCTACCCTTTGTCCACTTAACAGTTTTTATGTATTTATGTACAGCCTCTTACCCCGTAATTTGTCCACATAGCAGTACACATCATAGCGTTCATCAGCAGAACGCAGTCCATAAGACCTCACACCAGGAACATGCTCCAAATCACCAGAGCATTTCTCACGTGGAGACACAATGGGATACCTGCATAAACATAATTTACATACATTTGTAAATATATGTGACCCTGGAGCACAAAAGCAGTCACAAGTAGCACGGGTATATTTGTAGCAATAGCCAACAATACATTGTATGGGTCAAAATTATAGATTTTTCTTATGCCAAAAATCATTAAAATATTAAGTAAAGATCATGTTCCATTTGCACCCTCAGATTCCAGATTTTCAAATAGTTGTATCTCGGCCAAATATTGTCCTAGCCTAACAAACATACATCAATTTCAGATGATGTATAAATCTCAATTTCGAAAATTGACCCTTATGCCTGGTTTTGTGGTCCAGTATGAGGCAGATAATTCCACTAGAAGCATTTGTCATCAACACCGCCACAAATATTTTGCTTAACACTTATAAGTTTATATATGTTAAATCTATAATTAAAAAATTATAATTTAAAAACTTTATTATAATATAAAGTGAAGGTGTCCACTGCCCCACATTTAACAGAACTACATTATAACTTTATAAAAATAGACACACAAACAATTTAAAGAAAATTGAACCGTTCACCACAATGTTACAATTGTGCAGTGAATCGTACCTAACAGTCTGATCTAACAGCCAGCCAGCGTCACATTGATGGTAACCAGACTCATAGGCTGCCTGCAGTTGCTGGGCACTGGCAATGACTGCACCGATGCTCTGACATGCCAGTTGAGCCTCGAAAAAGTCAAAAGCATAACGACCGGAGCTTGCACGATAATGGAAGACCACCCCTGCGGAGGGAATTAATAACAATGGGTGTCAACAGATGTATCTAAGTTACATAGGCTCCGGTCTGCCAGCCAGCCTGCATTACAAACATCCATACCATCCTTCCATGCCAGGTACAGCTGTCCTGTGGTGGCCAACTTGGCACCCAGCTTTGCACACTCAGCTTCTGCCTCCTCAAAAGTGAATTTGTTAGGGGAAGTAGTGTGGAACCCTTTTCCTGTGAGATGAAATGGAACGTTTTTTAGCATTTCAATGTTCTTCAAAGAAGGCATTTTGCTCTCTGCCATCTAAGTACCTGTCATTTTCTCAGCAAAGCAGTACACGTCATACGTCTCATTCACGTCTCTTACTCCATATGTCCTCACTCCTGGAAACTCGTACTTGTCTCCATAACAAGCCTCACGGGGATCATGAATAGGGTACCTTCATTCCACAACAAAAGACAATACTTCCATCACATTTTCGAACAAAACTTTAGAACATTAACTAAATATACATTACAGTTTTTTGTAACGTTTTCGGGAAAAAAAAGCTACAGTAAACCCGTTAACCTCTTAACACGCAAAGATTGTGTACCACATTCACATTTTTTATACATTTAAAAAATACAGTATATTCTTAATATTTTAGTTTTAGTTTTTATGTTTAAGCTTATATATCTTCATATTCATACCAGTCTGAGTAATTCTGAGTCTTAAACAGTAAACTTTCAAGTGTCAGCTTTGTGAACATATGCTGATTATGTATCTAGTCAGAAAGACTTATGAGCAGCAACCTTTTTATTTTGGGTATGTTATTTATGTCCCCATGCCAAAACCGGGGGGGGGGGGGGGGTGTTAGAGGGTTATTATCTGTACATTTTAAGGGTTTCAAGTAGACTGATATATTCACATTACATCAATTAGTGATATGCAGAAGTTGTAAAATATACATCCACCAGTATTCCATCCAGTAACACCCGAAACATTTTTCAGTGTATTTTTTTAGTGAGTTTCTGGACACCACAGCTGCCATTTTTACTATAAATTTAACAGCTTTTTTTACACTGAAGGTAACTGACCTGACGGTCTGATCTGCAAGCCAGCCAGCATCACACTGGTGGAAACCCTCATCAAAAGCTGCTTGGAGTTGCTCTGGAGTAGCAATCACTGCACTGTTTTGAATACAGGCTGCCTTGGCCTTCTCAAAGGTAAGGGTATATCGTGTGGTGATGGCACGATAGTGGAAAACAATACCTAAGCAAAATAAAAGTACATCGATGTCACATTTCTGAGAGAAAAAAGCACACACATAGTCATAAAGTAATATTTTCTTTAAGGATCTTCAAACAAACACTACCTTGAACTTGAACATCAACAACATCGTAACCGTCCTCTATCCCATGCATGACCTCACAGCGGTACACTCCCGAGTCATTGGAATGGAGCTCAGTGATCTTAATGGAGGCGTCTGTGGGTGTCATGGGGTATCCAACCATGGTGATCCTATCCAGATACCTTTTGTCGATGCTTACTACTCCTTCAGGGAAAATGTGTGCAGTGTTTTGTTAAAGTGTTCTGGACTGTGTTTAGAGAATGCGCAAAGGAAAAAGACAGATAAGATAAAATCAGTTGCCAAAGTTGGTTTCATGGGAAAAGGGCTTAATGGCTTATGTGTTGGTCTTAATTTTTTTCCTTTTAAGTCCTTCTTAAAGTGCAGTGTTTGTCCCAGTTAAAGCTTTAATGGAAATCATTCAACATTTAGAAGGTCATAGAAAGATAAAATACTGATGAAAATATCAATCATTGCTCAAACGTGATATATTTAAAGCTGTGTGTGTTCCTGTCAAACTCAGCTAGCGACACATAAAACAGGGATTAAAAAACAACATTATTCCTACAATGAGTGTACTGTAAATCACAGATAGTTTGAGTTAAATGACAGAATCATTTAATGTTGCAACAGTTAATCTCAGTATAATCCCCACAGAAAGAAATATGCTAAAATTAATTTTAAGCAATTCTTAGACAACATGTGCCACCGTGTGGATGTCAAAGGGTCAACAACAAAACTGTAATTTAGGGTCTTGCCATTATAAGTCCAACATAATAACCTAGTTCATAAAGTAAATAAAATTATATATTAACCCACTTGGAAAAATGCTCTGATGGATCAATTAATCCTGCTTAAGTACATGAACTAAGATGCCACTACAGTGTGCATTATTTCTACATGCCTGATCACGTACAGTTTGTGAGCACGCAACAAGCACTACATACAATAGGTTGAAACAAGTACATTTAGATGCATTTCATTGAAGATAATGTCATATAGCCATTTTACATAGCCAGCAACATTTAATATGTTAAAAAACACATGTTAAAAAGGGCTTAAGACATAAAGTTTCATCTGCAATATCACCTTCAGCAGATACTTTATAGCATCACAGCATACCAAAGAAAAAAGTTTAAGTGGGCATCCCTGTATAGGCGCAAGAACTCTCTCAGGAAAAGAAAAGGTACAAAGCTATCACTGGGACCGTACCCTACAAGAGCTAAAACGTACATATTTACCACCAAATGATATTAGTACCTTTTTAAAGGGTACCTAGTGACAGTTTTTCTCAGAGTGAAGTGTATTGACAAGTTATTTGTCACTTTAGGTCAGGAAGGTTGCATCTTAACAATACATCCAAATATAAATTGTGATTCTCTGTAATAATCAAATATAACTATATGACATGGTAGAGCAACAAAATTAACTTCAATTCAATTTAAGCCAAGACAAAAGTATCTGAAATAAGTCCTATTGCCAAACCACCTTCAGTCATGATTCGAAACATAACGTTACTGGTAAATAATAGTTATTTTTCACATTTATTATGATTATTCATTAGGCTATATCAATGCTCAAATTTCCAAATGATCAAATCTGATTTACTGTCACTCTGTTAAGACATTTTAGTGTTTAATATCAGCACATATCAGAGAATGACTGAAGGTTCACAACTTTCAACTTGTAATCTCACATTACTTCAACAATTAACTCGACCCTGAGCATTTGAATTCATGTAATTGAGCCAGAGATGCTGTGACAGTGCTCACCTGTACAGCTAGCGAAACCACAACATAAAGCCAAACTGTTCATCACCTGTATGATAGTGTCCCTCTGAAACTCTTATATTCCTTGATTGCAGATGCTTTCCAGCTCTCTGATGGCACGCGCCTCTCTCAATCCAAACCCGTAATAAAAGCGTCGCGTGTGCAGTAAAGTTCAGAGGCGCTTCTGGCAGAAGATTGAGAAGCAGAAAGAAACTATGCTCACAGGGGAAATACTTTAACTGAACAGGAGCTGAAAGGGAGGCTAGGGAATGAGGGGTGGAGTGAAGGCGCACATAAAATTTCCACGCATGATGTAATTTGGCTATAGGCTACACAGAGCCTCCGACACTTTTGTGGCTAACATGCGCAAATCCTGACGATATTTATGTCAACGGTCCTCTTGATCCGTTTTGAGCCATAATAGCTACATCATCGGACGGAACAAAGACGGCCTTTTTGCTAATATAGCTATTTACATGATGTCACATTCCTTTTTGAATAATGCAATGCTGAAACACCTATTCAGAACCCAATTAAATTAGAATCATTTCTAAGAATTTTCTCCTTCGAATTAAAACTCTAAATGCATCATATGTTTCCTTAAAAAATAAATTAGCAAATTAATAAAACGACACTGGCATTAGTGTAGCAACTCCAGTTCACTTACATATTGCATTCAAGGTAGGCTATTCGTTTTATGAAATTACAAAAGCTAAAAGGTACATCTTTGTACTTTATTTACACCTATAGCCTACATATTAGCTTTTCACTTCACATGAGGTTAACTAATGGACTTGAGTCGTGTGGACTACTTAGGTTGTTGTGATTTATCAGCTGTTTGAACTCTTATTTTGACGGCACCCATTCACTGCAGTGGATCCATTGCAAGTGATGTAATGTTAAATTGGTCCAAATTCATTCTAATATATAGACAAACTCATCTACATCTCGAATGGCCTGAGTATGAGTAAATGTACACATTTTCATTCTATTCTGTTAAGCTACAGATATGCTGTTTAATGTTCCAGCCTGGAATATTCACTGGAGTAAAGTTTGACACCAGCCCTGTACACATTTTATTACAAATCAGTGATTTATTTCAAGATTTGTTTCCTATTTTCTCAGTTTCCCAAAATCCCATCTGCTGCTTTCAAATATTGTGCTTCTTGGTCACAAACATCCATCATATTAATTAGTCTTCAACATTAACACGAGTGGAAAGCAGAGACACAAGGCTTCATTCAGCAGCCTGGCCCACCCCGTTGTTCCTCTCAAACTTTCCTCTCAGAGGAACATGACAACGTATCCCATTGAATAGAGCCACTATTTGAGAACCTAGTAATGTCTCACAAGACATAAGAATACAGAGTACCCAATAAAGAACGCTGTGTGCTTTGTGTCAAAGTTTATTTTTTTTACGTATAATAGCCTATAGCTGTAAAATATGTTATGCGTAAAAAGCGTCTGTGTGGATGAGAGGAACGACTTCATCACTTCTCCAAACTCGGAGTTCATGCAGGTGAGCTTCGTTTTTATGTAGATTTGTCAAATGTTTTATAACAACTCGCCCTCAAATCACCAGGCACTCCTATCAAACAATTTCTTTTTCAATCTGTTAAACCTGGAGGTGTTGTAACACGGAGTCAGTTGAACCAATTTGTAACCGATTAGAAATGATCCACGGGGGGGGGGGGGGGGGGGGGGAAGCTGCAGCATGACATTTAAGATCAAATTTTTTATTTATTCCTGAAGGTGTTTAATTTGAGACTTACATGCTAATATAAAAACTTAAATCTCACCTTCTCCTAGACTATCCATCCCTCCATCATTAGCATACCGATTACACAGCAGAGCTACAGAGAGATCCAATCATGAGCTGGCGTTTAAACTCAGTTGAGGTTTAGTTGGGAGGGACATTCTCTGTTTCTTTTGGATGGTGATTAAAAACGGTAACTGAACTGCTTGGAATGGACTTCAAAGAGGAGGTTCCTACTGTGAATTTGTGTGAGTGCTTTGTCCTCTTTGCTTTTATTCTGCAGTTTGTGTGTATGAAATGAGATACAAAGGCATGTTTGAAATTTGCCCTGGTTTGTTAACCTGCTCAGGTTAACCTATGTCCCTTGACACCTTTAAAGAGACACATTACCTTAAATCCCCCTCAACATACTAAATATATCTTCTAACTTCCAGAAAGCAATGTGTTTAAAGGGGTCATATGATGCGATTTCAAGTTTTCCTTTCTCTTTGGAGTGTTACAAGCTCTTGGTGCATAAAGAAGATCTGTAAAGTTGCAAAGACTAAAGTCTCAAATCCAAATCCAAGAGTCAACCACGCCTACCTAAAACGGCTCGTTCTAACATGCCCCCACATGTCTACGTCACTATGTGGAAATATTAGCATAATGTTCACGCAAAGAAAGAAGGTGTGGTTTCAGGAACAGCTGTCCTGTTGATGCAGCCATGTCAGGGAGACGCTGTGTTTCAGTGCATCATCACTGTGTCTGTCACGCGATTCTGTTGCCCTTTCGGGCTTGAACTGATGGTAAAACTAACGACATTATTAACTGTCTTGATATTTATTTTGAAAGCTGAAGCTCGTGATTATGGTAAGGGGCATTACATTTCTGACACGTGCTTGTGGTGTTCGGCCAATCACAATGCACTGGGTCAGCTGGCCAATCAGAGCAGACTGCGCTTGTCAAAGGAGGGGGCTTTGTTGAAAACCACGCATCTGAGAGAGGCATAGAGGACCTACAATACAGGTGCATCTCAATAAATTATAATGTTGTGTACACAAAATAATGATCTTTAAAATAGCAGCATATGACCCCTTTAAATTAAAATCTTAAACAGAAAATTTAAAAAGTAAATTCAATCAAATTATTATTACACAGAAGTTCGCTCTGATATAGTATATGGCTGTGCTTCAGAAGAGTTTGAGTAGACAAACAATGAAGGTATAAAGTCTTGCAAGCTTAGGGACAGCATATTCATCAGATTTTAAGCAATCAAGCTGACGTTTGGTGATTGACGTTGACAACACGCACAGTTCCAAGGGAAGCCTTCGGGGACCTGTGGACATTTCGCTGTCCTGAAGGGCTCTTTTCATCAAAAAGGCCAAACTATTGAAAGACATCAGGCGTTCTCCTCACTGACAATCTTGTTTCTATAAAGGAAGAGAAAACTCTGGTCTCTGGAGAGATACAAAAGCTTCTTCGCAAGCCTGTGTGAGGAAACAGAATTCCTCAGGGCAGTTGTCACTCCAGGTGCTTTCTGTCATTCTGTGTGGTGCCACTGGACTGTTTTCCCATACTACCAACCGAGAAGAATGAGGAGTATAAGGTACTGCCTCACCTCCAATCTAGAAAAACATTATGGACCTTTGAATTTTACTGGTGCAGTTATACGTCTTACTGACTCCACTTCATTAATTTTTTAAAATATATATATACATTTGACTCAAGTTTGAATCTGACATAGACGAATGACTGAATTAGTTTTGTGGAGTTTTTGCTACTGCTATATCTAACATAATCTGACCCAAGATGTTTTGCACTCAGTGGCTCCCTGCTGTCTGGAAATAGGCTTTCTTTCTCAGGGAGCGCCTTCACATGGTATTTTTGGAAAGCACAGAACATATTTATTTTCCAACTGGAACTGAACAGGGCATTGTACGCCATAGGTTTCTAGAGCACCGTGTAAGTCC